GTGAGGGAAAGGGTGCAGATAGTACTATGCAATGCAAAGGGGAAGATATTAAGGAAAGACTCTGTCATCCATTAGAGCCTCATCTCAGACAGCAGTGTTTATGTGTTAAGAATTTATGAATTTCTTCATTTGCTCATAGATACTTTGGGTACCGGTACTGTCAACCTGTTGAGTATGGACATGGGAGCAATATCAGTGAGTTTTAATGCTTGCCACCGATACCCTAGCATCGCTAAGTCTAGTGTATTTAACTAGATAAGTCAATCAGTTTGTCACGTTTAATCAGACCATCCGATTCAAAGTGTATTTTGCACTAGAGGTGTTCGGCGGGTATCACTTGTTGTGAAATAAATTTAACCCTTTACGTTTAACATCGCAGTCACTGAGACGCTCTGCACCGCCATCAAATTCATTTATAACTCTGCGTACCGAACCTCATACGTGAGTAGTCTAAGCAGGTCACTAAACTGTTTTAAAACTTTAAATACAAAGCTCTGCCTTTACGTTTTATAAACTTTGTGCATTCAAATACAGAATACTGCTACTAAAAATTATTTATACTCTAAGCACGAGTTTTCCCTTTAGTATATATATATACAATTATATATATATGAATAAATAGTTCTAATACTCTTAGTTACATTAATTGTTTATAAGCGATTAAACCAACACTATAAAACAATAATGAACTTAATTAATATATAATAAGTAGGAGTTGAGACGTTATGGATGTAAGCACTCATCTCCGTACCTTTAATTGATTTTCCATGATAACTGGCTATTAACAGCAGAGTTTGGATTTTATCTGATAGATGGGATATCCCCATTGCATTTGGGCGTTATTACCTCAGGCATTATCCGTTATGAGTGTCAAGTTGACAACTAGGACTGACAAAGACAATTCTACTGTAATGCTTACTTTACACCCACCGACCCTCGACCCTTCCCACATATATATTGTTACGCCTCTGTGTTCGTTTGTTAATTTTCCATAAAAAATATTTCCGAAGAAACTTTAGCGATACAAGTCCTTTCTTAAATAAAACCAGTTTATTCTTTCTCAATAAAACTTTGCAATACACTTAATTTCCACAGTCACACTATAACTTAAACAAACGCCATAATTCACAACGAACGATTCACGCGCCTGACTCAATTTTCGGTCTCTATCTCTGTCTGCAATTCAATTCCATTGTTGCCGTCACTTCTTGGCGGTCTTCTATACAAGCATACCGCACATCTAGTAAACACTCGAGGCTTCACGAACGGACAAGAATTTTCTAGCGTCACATGACTTCCGCTGTCGTAACAATATGTAATATAGGTAATGAGATATGATAAAAATAGGTTTATCTTTAGTGCAAAGCTACACAATGCTGTGCTCTGTCCAATACAAAGCTGTGCTCTGTCCAACGCGAGGAATCGAACACCAGACTTTAGCATTATAAATCTGTAATTTTACCATTAACCAACCGTAAGGATATAGATGAGATATTATTACACCATCCTTACTAGACTATTTGTCACGACAGCGGTAGTCACGTGACGCTGGTAACACGTCATGATATTCTAGAAAGATCGGGGAACATC